AAGCCCACCTCTAGACCTACCTTTTTTGGGTTTTTCTGTCGATTTTCACTAAAATTTTTCCTGTAGCAATATTGCATTCTTATCCACGAGCTCATAAACGATTTCATTTCACGAAATTTAAAACGAATGGCCGTGTTTTCATTGCAGAAATAAAATTTTTTCGAAATTTGATTAAATGAATAGTTTTCAAGAAATATATGTATATACATATGCACATAGTATGTATGAAAAATAAATGTATTATACACGAAACAATAAGTTTTTCTAACGAAATCTGCTAACCTTCTCAATTACATCGGCAATCTATTTTTTTTACCTGTCTGCACAGTTTATTTCATTCTAGAAAATTCGGAAAAAAATCGGACGAGATCTTTACGAATTCTTTAAAATTTCTCTACAATTCAAATACTCTGAAAAAATGGTTTGCAGGGTAGTTACATTTGAGTTTAGATGTTTGAGAATTACATAATTATTCAAAAATATACTAAAAGTGAAAGTACTTAAAAAGTATTTAAGAAAATTACTGTAGTTTGCACAATTTGTTTTTTTTTTCAATATGTTGGCTCTGAATCGCAAACAGTTAGCAACACAGAAGTACACCATCCTGACTGAAAATTGATCGGTCAATTGGAATATATACATTGATTTGCTTTCTAACTCTTTTAAGAAGTGGTCCTAGGTATTAGTCCCTAAAGGAATAATAAATTGAGCCTCAAAATGTGAGAAGTTTTTCATTGTTCACAAAGAATTTAATAAAGGAACTTGGCCACTTTGCAAAGATTTCTTGTTGCCTCAATGACATGTTCACAATGTTCCTTGTTTAGAAAAATTTTCTTATTTTTTTTTCATATTTAATATGGATATTTATTTGGCTATCGTCTAATTGTACCTAAATTGAGCTCAGTGTATCGAATGTAACTGAATCTTTGCAGTGCTGTGAAGTTTACTTTTATGTATATCGTCGCTTGGCGCGCAATACCTCGTATCATGAAGTAGGGAAGCATTGAGACAGGGTAACCAAAATACAGTTTTTTCTATGCCACCTCATACGTGGTATTGCATTTGGCGGATACGAGGTATTACGCGCCAAGCGACGAGATGTAATTGTGCGGTTTATACTAATGTGTAAAAGTTAACACATATTATCTCGAGCATATGTACATACATTAAAAATGCAACATCTGAATCGCTGTTTTTTTTATGTACAGACCACTTATTTTTTTTTTAAACGTCCCTGACGGAAACAAATGACTTTTTAAATCAACTAATTGAAAGACTACTTTAAAACAAATGTAATGAGTAAAGGTTTCGAATTTTGATACTCTTTTTAACCGACTTCCAAAAAAGGAGGAGGTTATCAGATCGTCGGAATATTTTTTTTATTTTTATTTTTTGTATGTATGTTACCGCATAACTTTGGACCACGTCAACCGATTTCGATAACTCTTTTTGCAGCGGAAAGGTAGTGTCTCAGAAGAGGTGGTCCCATACTAATCTGGTTTAGATCCGATCATTGGATCATGAGATATATATATATATATATATATATATTTTTTTTTTTTATATGAGGATTGAAGTCGGTTTTTTTTGCTAAAAATTATATGTTACTCAAAAAAAAAAACAATTTATGTCTTGGAAGTATGAAAAAGCATATGTGAATTGCAGAACGTAAGCGTATTCAAAAGANGAACGTAAGCGTATTCAAAAGAAACCCTACAAGAATTGTGTGATGGAAACTAACACATTCTCATTTATCTTACTAACACATTTGCAAATTTTGCGTTGGTTAAAAAGAGACCACTAAATAAGGCCATAAGTCGGAGGAAGACGGAAGATCACATGGAAAAGTTGATAGAAGTACTTGATTGAGATCTCCATCACCAGTGAGTATCACATGATCAGTGAGGCAACATGTGATGAAGTATCAGATGTCAATTTTTTTCTTGTCCGTTTTCATGAGAGCTGCACACTGGCCTTTAGTTGTAAAGGGCAAGGGAAAGGCCCTTATTCCTGATAATATGCAGGTTTTAAACTTTCCATATTTAAATTGGGCTCAACTTGTATCAACTCACGTTCAGTACAGTCAAAGCTTTTCTTCGCGAAAATCGAATGAAAATGCTGTCAGAAAACTTCCAAAATGCATCTTGTGGTTCAATGTTACTACAACTATAGAGAATAAAGTTTTTTTATTTGTGAGTTAAAAACTCGAAAGGAGAAAATAGTCAAAGATTCAAATTTTTCAGGTTTTGCCTTTTTAATGCCTCCTTTTGCCTTTTTTGCGATTTATAGTGCCTTTTCCTACCTATTTTGCTATTTTATTTTGCCTTTTCTAGCCTATTTCGTTATTTTATTTTGCCTTTTTTATAGGTTTTTAGGTCCTAAAAATCCGGTTATGAAACTTAACAGTGGGGGCATGTGAAAACAGTTGAAACTAATTTCCAGTATTTCATTTACCAAAGGATTCACAATAGAGTCCATCATACTACAAGGGCCTGAAACTATACTACTATGCCGGCAGATATAAAGAACTTGAAGCATTTTTCACGCTCTTTGGCAAATTACGCTTTTACAGTGATTGGCCCACCGTGATATCAAGACCCCTAGACCATTTAGGGAATCCATTTGTATTTTATATTGCATTGTCATCGTGATTTAAACTATGCTGAAAGTCCCTAGCTTGTCGGGAAGTTCGTTTAAAATCGAAAGGAAATTTTTGGCGGGATGAGCAAGTTAAATAAAAAAGATAATAATTTTGCATGATTTTCAGTTCCTGTGGAGTGTTGAGTTTCGTTGCAAGTGATTTTCGTGACTCGTGTGGAGCGTTGTGAAATCGCCGCTCTGTTGAAATTGACGGTTGTAACCGTCTCTTCTAATGCAGTAGAATATCAGTTTTTTTAAGTAAACCAAATTAAATATGTCCAAACACTTTCTTCCATATGTGGTAGTAAAACTCCAAGTGGGTTAAACTTTTCACTTTTTGGTTATATTTGCTTTAAATTCCATTGTAGAACATTATACATGTATGTTTATCAATTACGTCAACAATTTAAATACCAACCCGTTTTTAGGTATTCACCTGGCAGCAAATGGAAATTAGTTAGCAGTATGATTACGCCACGATGTCAGGCTGGTGCAGTGGCTTTGAATGACAAAATATTTGTTATGGGAGGCATCAATGAAAACAGTTTAAAATCTGTTGAATGTTACGATCCATCTTCGAATACTTGGAAACAGTGCGGGGATATGAATGAAGCTCATAATTTCCCTGGGGTAAGTGAGCGAAGAAAATAAAAATCAAATTATACAAGTTTTTGTTATTATTTTCTTCGTTTTTATGAGAAACATTATTGCCTATTTTTATAGATTTTTTAAAGGTCATTTAGAGGTCGCGATCTGTCGATTTAGCTCAGAGAATACGATTTTGTAGATTTAAGAGTTTTTGAATGGCTATTTTTGATTCGATTTCAAAGATCGAATATGATCTGAGAAGAGGATATATAGGCCTTTAAAATGGTATATATAATAATCTATTGTCGGACTTGGTTTGTTGGTATTTTTTATCGGGTAAAATAAAAAAAAAACCCATATTTCTCTTAATTTTTTAAATTTTCACCATCGATAATTTCCATAATTTCAAAATATGTAGCACTATCTAAAATCAAGTCTATTTTAATTAAATTAATTTTAATTTAAATTGTCGAAGTTAGGCGACTTTTCTTAACTACGGCCTTGAATTTATATAGTTTATATACCGGGCTTTCAGATTTTTTGAACAGTGTGGCTAAGGAATCCATCAATATTTAGTAAAAATTGATATATATATACAATCCATGATTCAATAATGAATGGTTTTATAAGAAAAACTTTCTCTCACTCTAATTTTATCAATGACACTCCCACCCTACTCCTAAAAACAAAAACAGTGATATTTATTTCCAAATTTCTTTGCGAGTTTTAGGAACATTTTTGAATTTTTAGTAGTGACATTTTTACTTTTTATTCGTGGATACCTATTGATTCTGTCAGTTGCTGTTAAGCAGGGATTCCCAAAGTGGTCCAGGTGGACCCCCAGACTAAAAAGAACCGGATGTTGGTATAACACTGAGTGGGGCGCGGCGGAAATTGCTGGCGGCAGAGATTTAAGCACTTGTGTATTTTCAATGCTACAGGATAGTACGCCATCATTTACCTTTGTTGAAAAGATTCTATATTATGTTGAGTTCCATGAGACTGAATGCTGGTTTAATTCCATCACTGAGACCAGACTAACACATTGTCGAATCTTCACTGATGGCTCTTTTTCGAATTTAATGCGGTTAAGCTTCACTTTTCTGTTGGGGAATATGCTTCGGTCTTCCAGGCTGAGGTAATTGCAATCCTCAAAGTCATGGACTACGTGGTGGAACATAGGTAGAGGGGAAGGAGTTTACATGCGTGCAGTGACAACCAAGCTGCACTTAGGGCATTGACCAGCCTTCTTACTACTTCCAAACTAGTTCGGCAATGCAAGTCCCGACATAACGAGCTTGCTTTACTCTGGGTGCCAGGTCACTCAGGAGTACCTGGTAATGAGACATCTGACCATTTGGCCAGAATTCGCTCAGACCAGGCATTCCTCGGTCCACAACTAGTACACCCACTTTCGGTTATCGAAGCAACAAGGGAAACTGGGTGAATACTTCGCTCAGCAATGACTGGGAGGCATCGAGGAGATGCAGGTGTGCAAAACTCTTGTTGCCTACATTCTCAGAAGGTCTATCTAGTTTATTTGCTCTCACTGAGCAGACGACACTGCAGACAACTTGTTGGACTGCTGACTGGTCACTTCACGTGGCACAAACACCTGACTGTGATAGACGTAAATGACAATTATATTTGCCCATCCAGCCTTGGAACACTTTTTGTGCTTCTTGCTTGCTTGGTTGTTTGTCATCGAATCTTCTAGACTCGCTCTTTTCTCTATTGTCAGTTTCTGAATTAAAAGTTTGGCGTAAAAAGCTTAACAGTTTTGTTGCTTTAAGTTTTGTGTTTTAAAAATGTGAGTGATAAATATTTTACGCCTCACTTTAAGACTCGGAGCGATAAAAATAAAAACGGTGCCATCAACACAAATAAACTATTTTACAAATACTCCACGTACAAAATCATGAGGGAGCTGAACATTTGATGAGTTTATGGTGAAGATAATGTAAAAAACGCTAGGGCTGGATGTGCTTTTAAAAAATATAACTCCTCAGAGCGAGATAGTATTTTGATGGACTTACGAGCTATATTTTTTAAAACCTGCAAGTGTGTAATCACATTATTTTAATAAATAGAAATAAAAAATAATAGAAAGACAATATTTTCGTTTTCTTTTGGCCACTCCGAGTTTAGTTTTTGAAATCACCCGCGGTGCAAATTTACATAGTTAGATCTAATCTTCACATTTCATTTTTTTACGAGCTTAGGGAAATGTATCAGCAGGGGGTCCACCGAAACCAGTAAAGTGTTGAAAGGGGTCTACGAGAAAAAAAGTTTAAGAACCTATGCGGCAAAGTAAAGCTCGCAATGGTTCTGGTAAATGAGTCAAGAAAGGTATTTAGGTATTGACCTGCATCCCCGAATGAGACTTTGACGCAGTATAATATTGCCAAACCACATCCATGGAGCCAATTGTAACACACGACAGCTCGGTTTAGTCAATGGCGCGATGTAATTTCAAACTTACGGCACTTCTCATTTGACGGTGTAGATCACGTTCCCTGCGTCAGTCATTCAGTAGCTGCGTGTCCTTTTTATTCTTCTTGTGCCAGTGTTTAATATTCTGATGGCGGCATAATCTCCCCAGAACACTAAAAGTGCAACATCAAAGAGTTGGAATTACCATATTCAAAGCAATCGAGCCAAAACCGTGAAAGAAACGTAAGCTCCAAATGTGTTTATTTGTCGTTTTTTTTATCGAAATTCCATAATTTTTCCACAAACAAATAGCTTCTTCATATCCATCAACTGTAAATGGTACCGCAAAAAAATTTACAAAGCAAACAAACACACAAAAAAATAGCTCAAGGTGGAACTTTGGTATATACATACATATAAGTATTTATTTTTAATAACAATCAGGGGTTATATTCNTCCTGTTGGTGGGAGTGTCAAATTTTAGAAAAAAGCTACCTAAAAATCCTTTCATTATTGAATCATGTATACAATCGGTCTTTAGCAAAGAAGTGGTTTTTCAAAAAAATTTTGGAAAATGGGGGTGGCACCGCCCACTTATATGATATATGTTTATCTCAAAAACTGCTTTACCTATCTCAACCAAATTTGGTTTCCAGATTGCGCTTAGGCTTTTTAAGCGCCATTTTGAAAATTTTTGAAATCATACACAAACCACGGGCTCCACCAACGTAACGGTAATATAAAAAAAACTCAAAGCTAGCTATATTTTAGGGCTACCCCCTTTTGTCCGATTTTAAAAATATCCAAGAAGGTGCTTAGGGAGGCTAGGCACAATGTATATATTAAATTTGGTCGAGATCGTTCGAGTAGTTTTTGTGATACACATATATCATGCAAGTGGGCGGTGCCCCCGGCCCCCCCCCCCCATTTACATATGAAAATAAATTATGTGCAAAATAAATATGTATATATGTCTTAATGTATGCATAAAATTTCACATTTTAGGTAGCCGTACATAATGGATGCATATATGTTTTAGGAGGGATTTCAGAAATTAAAATAGTTGATCCTCAAAGTAACAAATGGACAAAGGTTAGTGGAAATAGTTACACCAAATATTTTAAAACACCAAACAACGCAAGCTCTTATTATTTTTCATAGATTTGCTATTTACACGTTGGACGTGGATGCATGGGTTGTGGTTTTGTAGGTGATCAACTGTGGGTTGTCGGAGGCTGGAACTCAAAGTCCGTGTCAGTTTACTATGCAGAAGTTGGTGAATGGGTCGAAAAGAAGCCAATACCTGAAGCGGGTCGATACTGCTGTTATGTTGTGCCTAAAGCTTTACTTCAATGTGAATGAGAGATAAGGAAATTTACAAAGTACTTGGTTGTAGACTTATTCGAGGTCAATATATTTTGCTTAAGCAAATTTTAATTTTCACCTTATCTTGAACATGAATGGTTTCTATTACTTTAAAATATTTTTGCTTGTAAAATGCGTTCTTTAAATATAGGTTAAATATAACCAAGAAGAAAGTAGAAGTGATTACCATAGTTCTCTCTTTCGGGCTGCGACTGGAATATCAAAAACCGAATATAGATATTCGATATCATATTAAAGGAATTTCTTGATTAAATTTTTTATATATGTTTTTAACATTATAATCAGCTACAAAAAGAACTAAGTTTGACAGTCACTTCTAGCTTGTTGAATATGCCTTAGTTTTTAAGTTACAGCAGAGAATGATACATATTCCCTTAAACTCGGAAAATTTATAACTGTAAGTATTTTTATTACATGAGTTTTGAAATTTCAAAACAAGTTTGGAGGTTTTTCCCAAATGTAGGGAATACCACTAATTATTTAACAAAAAAACTTACTCACTAATAAATATAAAACGACCCTAACACTTTTGGATTATTAATTAGCTATTAAAACACCTAACTTATGTACTTTAGTTGCCTAACTAACATAATACTTTATACTGTTTTTAGTTTACATTTATCTACATTTACATTGACTTCTGACATTTCGAAAGAAATCGAGTTAATGCTTTTCTATAGTTTAAAGTAACTACATATGCCTACTGGAAGTGTCTTATTAAAATAAATCATTTTATGTGTGCTTCAACACAAAAACTCATTCTACAACTACTTTTAAGTTTTTGGTGAAAATCAAACATTTTTTACTTCTCATTAAACGCGCCATTTGAATAAATGCTTGAAATGCATATGAATCGAAAGAGTAGAATAAATCCAAACACCATCATTACTTTTTAAGTATAGTTTACTTGACCAATAAATTTGTATAACTAATACTTTGAATACGTTTTATTTAAAGGCGCTGTTTGTACATTGTCGTCGTCATTATCCAAGCAGGTAAGTACCAGCAAAGCACTGAACGAATGTAGTATTTTTATTATAACAAGTCGCCTTTTTGACAATCAAAAAACCCTCAGTGGTTTTGGTAACGATGACAATGATAAACGTAAAGACTTGAAACCGAAACAAATTAAACTCAAGTCTAATAACACTGTGGAACAAATTCAGGTTAGCAA